AGTGGCTCAGGCCTGTAATCCCAGCATTTTGAGATGCTGAGGCAGGTGGATCACTTGAGGTCAGGAGTTCAAGACCAGCCTGGCCAATATGACAAAACCCTGTCTCTACTAAAAATACAAAAAAATTAGTTCGGCATGGTGGCTGGCACTAGTAATCCTAGCTACTCGGGAGGCTGAGCAGGAGAATCTCTTGAACCTGGGAGGTAGAAGTTGCAGTGAGCCAAGATTGCGCCACTGCACTCCAGTCTGGGTGACAGAGCGAGATCCTGTCTCAAAAACATAAAAAAATTTTCAAAGCTGGGTGTGGTGGCTCATGGCTCATGCCTTTAGTTGGAGGCTGAGGTGGGAGGATTGCTTGAGCCCAGGAGTTCAGGACCACCCTGGGCAACATAATGAGAACCTGTCTCTACAAAAAAATATAAAAATTAGACAGGCAGCCAGGTGCAGTGGCTCACTCCTGTAATCCCAGCTCTTTGGGAGGCTGAGCTGGATGGACCATGAGATCAAGAGATTGAGACCAGCCTTGCCAACATGGTGAAACCCCGTCTCTACTAAAAATACAAAAATTAGATGGGCATGGTGGTGCATGCCTATAGTCCCAGCTACTCAGGAGGCTGAGGCAGGAGAACTCCTTGAACCCAGAAGGGGAGATTGCAGTGAGCTGAGATTCATACCACTGCACTCCAGCCTGGCAACAGAGCAAGACTCCGTCTCTAAAAAAAAAAAAAAATTTAGACGGGTCTGTTGGTGCGTACCTGTGGTTTAGCCATGTAGGAGGCTGAGGCGGGTGGACTGCTTGAGCCAGGGAGTTTGGGCCTGCAGTGAGCCATGATTGCACCACTGTACTCCAGCTGTGGCAACAGAGCAAGACCCACTCTCTCAAAAGAAAAAAAAAAAAAAAGAATTTCAAGACAGAGCAGAACCGTAAACCAAGCATGGGGCCCTCCTAGATTCAGGCCCTGTGTGACTGTCCAGGCCGCAGGCCCATGAAGCCAGCCCTAGCCTGACATGACTCCACTGAGGGAAGATGTGGTAGAGGTCACGATCTATCTCCTTTATACAGATGGTGAAATGAAGTGCACGGAAGAGCAGTCACTGGCCTCGGGTTGCACAGCCAGTGACAAAGCAGAACTGAGAACAGACGGCAGTTCTTGGAGCATGCTTACTGTCTCAGGTGGGCCCTGGGGCCCAGGGACTTTGAGCCTCAGTTTCTTCCTCTGTAATCTGGGAGCATTGACCTGACTATAAAAATGACAAATATAGTTGAATATTAAAAAGTCAGGAAACAATAGATGCTGGAGAGGCTTTGGAGAAATAGGAACGCTTTTACATTGTTGGTAGCAGTGTAAATTAGTTCAACCATTGTGGAAGACAGTGTGGCGATTCCTCAAGGATCTAGAACCAGAAATACCATTTGACCCAGCAATCCCATTACTGGATATATACCCAAAGGATTGTAAATCATTCTTCTATAAAGACACATGCACACATATGTTTGTTGTGGCACTATTTACAGTAGCAAAGACTTGGAACCAACCCAAATGCCCATCAATGGTAAACTGGATAAAGAAAATGTGAGGCCGGGCGTGGTGGCTCACACCTGTAATCCCAGCACTTTGGGAGGCCGAGGCGGGTGGATCACGAGGTCAAGAGATCGAGACCATCCTGGTCAACACGGTGAAACCCCGTCTCTACTAAAAATACAAAAAATTAGCTGGGCATGGTGGCACGTGCCTGTAATCCCAGCTACTCAGGAGGCTGAGGCAGGAGAATTGCCTGAACCCAGGAGGCAGAGGTTGCGGTGAGCCGAGATTGTGCCATTGCACTCCAGCCTGGGTAACAAGAGCAAAACTCCGTCTCAAAAAAAAAAAAAAAAGAAAATGTGACACATGTACACCATGGAATACTATGCAGCCATCAAAAAAATGAGATTGTGTCCTTTGCAGGGACATGGATGAAGCTAGAAGCCATTATTCTCAGCAAACTAACATAGGAACAGAAAACCAAACATCACGTGTTCTCACTTATAAGTGGGAGTTGAACAATGAGAACACATGGACACAGAGAAGGGAACAGCACACACTGGGGCCTGTCACAGGGTTGGGAGCAAGGGGAGGGAGAGCATTAAGACAAACACCTGCTGGGCGCGGTGGCTCACGTCTGTAATCCTAGCACTTTGGGAGGCTGAGGTGGGTGGATCACCTGAGGTCAGGAGTTCAAGACCAGCCTGACCATCATGGTGAAACCCCATCTTTAAAAAAATAAAGACAAATACCTAACGCACAAAGGGCTTAAAACCTAGATAACGGGCTGATTGGTGCAGCAAACCACCATGGCACATATATACCTGTGTCACAGACCTGCACATTCTGCACATGTATCCTGGAACTTAAAGTAAAAAAATAAAATAAAAATTGGTTAGCAAAAAATAAAATGACAATTAGAACAGCTAGCTGTGAATCCCTGGACAGTCCCTATCTTTGACCCCTTCCCTTGAAGTCAGGAATACGTTCTCCTTTGCTTCTTGGAAGGGTCTGAGCCCTGTAGACAGGAGTGATAATTGGCTATTGTGGCAGTAGAAGAAATTAAAGCCCTTCAGAAGTGGAGGAAGGCTCTCTTTTAATGTCTCTTTGAAAGAATGTGGGGACTTGGTTGGAAAGTTCCCCTGGGTTCCTTGGTATTTCGGTGCTTTGATATCTAGAGGAATAAAAGAGCAATTAATTGCTACAAATGGCCTGTTCCCGTAGGGTTAGTCTGATGGTGGAGGGGGTGGTAGTGGTGGGTGACAGCTTTTCTATTCTGGGGCCATTGCTGGTTAAAGGGACACACAGAACAGAGAGTCACGGGTTTACAGCAATGTCTGACTTTAGGGGAGGCTTTTGAAATCCCGCTTTCTCTGGAAAACAGGTCTTCCTCAGCCCCTTGGGTCATAGAGCAGCTTTCTTTTCAGAATTCGTTGAAGACAGTGGGTTCTGAGCTGTCACTGGTCCCACACCACCGTCAGAACCAGTTTCTCAAAGTGTTGTCTGCCATCCTTTCCCCCCACAGGGATGACAGCTGAGAGCACTTTGGTAGTAGAAGACTGGGTAGTAAAAGTGGGTATAAAAGCACCCACTTTTTACATACATGTGGTTATCTACCACATAATATATAACCACAGGCCTGTGCCCTCACCATTCATTTGGATGGTTGGCATATGCCTTGGAGATTCGAGGCACTGAGTCTTGCACCCCAGCAGAGCAGGTGGCACAGCTGGAGCGGGTGGGCGAGGCTCCCACCGCCCCTCGAAACTTCCTGCTTCTCCTGTGTCTCCACCCCCTCAGCAGTCCACGCTCCTGTTCCATTAACCTGTGCAGGTGACCTGAACGATGAGCTTGTATGTGGGAGGCAGAAGAAAAGAAGGCAGTGTTCTTGGATTCCTGCCAGAGGTGAACTGGGGGCATGTAGACATAGACATGTGGCCAGGCTGTAGGTCTGCGAACAAGCTGCCACTGTGCTTTTCATGTGTTTCTGGCATGTGTCTGTGTTAATTGATGTTTATGTGCACAACTGCAGGTGTTCACCAAGCACACAGATACATATACGTGCCCTGAGCACAGGGGCTGCGGGGTGCTGAGCTACCTGTGTCTTGCTTGTTGTTTTAGATTTGGTAGGTGGGGCGTCCTCTCATGCAGGTGTGGGACTTGGCCATCAGCTGTCCTGGAGTGTTGCATTCTGGTCCACAGTGTCTCTGAACACAGCGTCTCAATTAGACTTGGTGACTAAGCTAAGGGAGCAGGGTATGTGGTGTCGAGCGGACTGACCTGCTTTAGCCGGAAGTGCCAGGCCAGCCGAGCTGCTGTCAGCACCTTATTTATCCCAGAGGTGCAGGTGCGGGTTTCCTGGGCTTGCCAGACATACAGGTATTTCTGGACCGAGGCAGAGCCCAGCTCCTCGAGCTTCCCACCAGCAGTTGTGCATCCTCAGCGTGGGGTGTGTGCTCCAGGCCCAGCCCTGGCAGCTGCGTGGGCCCTCCCGACTCCTCCCATGACCCGTGTTCTGTGTCTCCACAGGGCGGCACCTTCCTACTTCTCCCCGGCCACAGTCCTCCCCTCACAGTTGAGTACCTGTTTGCCTGAAGTTAATTTCCAGAAGCAGGTAAGGCCCCCAGGGGAAGGACTGTATAATGTGGCCATACAGTAGTGTCGGGTGGGGGGTGAGGAGTGGTCTTGGATGCCAGGCTTCAGGGCTGATCATGAAGTTAGCTCAGCTGTTACCTTTCACCATGACCCCTTGTGATGCTCTTTCCTCCAGATGTGTTGGTTCTTCTGGGGAATGTTTTGGTGCTGCTGGTTTCTTTCAGGCTAAGACATGTACAGACTCGATAATATTTCATAGAAGCTCTAGGAACCACCAATTCTGTGGCATTGTATTTTTTTTGCGATTTAAACATCATGAAAATGTAAATTTTATGTTTTTAAATGTATCAGAATCTATCGCAATGTGTTTTAAAATGGACAAAGCAAAAGACGAGTGCAGGGGCTGGAGGCAGCTCATGTGTCTGAAGGGCCTGCCTTGCCTGGCCTCACTTGAGCTTACTTGATATCTTCCTGGCAGGTGCAAGACCACCCTGGGTATAAGTGGATATTCTAACAGAGATAAATATGGATATTCAACAGCATTAGCTTCCAGCTTAAAAATAAAAATGAGTGCAGGTGGCTGTGTTTGTATTCAGGGCCACTCGTGCGTGTCAAAGCGAGGCCAGCTTTCAAAACTCTTTATCAGAATGGGTTGCATTTCCCAGACAGCGACCCATACAGAGAGCCACAGCCATCCAGCCTCCAACTGCCGTGTGTAATTTTCAGCAGTCTTGTTCTCCAGGTCCCTCTTGCACTGCCTCCTAATTCTTCTAAAGTGAGATCAACTGCTTAAAAGCTGGAAACTACGTGGTGGTCAAAATTAGGTCCCTGCAAAGGCTGGGCAGGAGTGTGGCATCTGAGGGTACTTCTTACAGATGCCCTTGGGTAGCTCCCTGAGAATGTGGTATGGCCTGTGAAGCCAAGGCCAGTTCTCCCGTTGTGTGGACCTTTCACAGTGGTCGGGTGCCACTTCCTCACTATCCTTTCCTGGCCAGCCAGGCTTTCTTCAACGGAGAGGTGGCTCTGAACCAACAGGAGAGAGAGAGAGAGAGAGAGAGAGAGAGAGAGAAACAGGATTGTGTCTTTGGGTCTAATTTGAAAGTATGTACCTTGGTGTCTCTTCATTGAATTTGCCCCAATCAGATGTAATTTTCTGGGATGGCACTCACTTTTTGCAGAATGTGTGGTTGCCTACTGCAAAAAATATAACCACAGACCTGTTCCCCTCAGGATTCATTTAAATAGTTAATAGTTGTCTGCTGTTTCTTTTCTGTTTTGTTGTTTTTGAGACAAGAGTCTCACTCTGTTGCTCAGGCTAGAGTGCACGGTGTAATCTTGCCTCACAGCAACTGCAACCTCCTCAATTCAAGTGATTCTGCTGCCTCAGGCTCCCGAGTAGCTGGGATTACAGGCACCTGCCACCATACCCGGCTAATTTTTTGTATTTATAGTAGAGACGGGGTTTCAGCATGTCGGCCAGGCTGGTCTCAAACTCCTAACCTCAGATGATCTACCTGCCTCAGCCTCCCAAAGTGCTGGGATTACAGATATGAGCCACTGTGCCCGGCCTGTTTCTTTTCATTTTCCTTTTTTTTGGCTCGCCTCTGACTTGGGCAGCTAACAGAAAATTTCTTAGGATTTTGAGTGGAAGTGCTGCCCCATTTTAGACACTGGAATGTTTATGGGGCTAGCCAAGAGACCATAATTGAGAACTATCATTATTTTTGGTTCTCACGTTCAAGGACTAGATGAATAATTAGTGTGTCTAATTTAGTTGCAGTTTTAGTTTATGTAATTTAAACATATTTTAATGGAGCCCAGTTTTTCATCCCTACAGGGGAAAATAAGATTTCTCAAGTGAAGTGAATCTGATGCTTGTCAGAATTATGATAAAAATTTAATAGCACATTTGCTTGTATAGGCAACAAAGACATACTTTAATATACTTGTAGCACACCATGACTGAAATGTCTGTATTGTTTGGGTTGATTATGATTTATTCTCTCCAATTACGAGTTTGCTCCTCATTAACACCCTTGCTGCAGATTAGGAGAGAATTATGTAAGCCAGCCATGGTGTTTCTGTTTGGGTTGAAATGGGAAGGGCAGGAATGTGTGCTCCTGACCGCATTTCTGCTCCAGATCTAGCCCTGAGTGTGACCTCTTGTTAGGCAGCAGGACCAAGTCAGCTCGTACTAGGTCTGGAAGAATTCTCGATGACCAGACTTTTAGAAACGACAAGTCAGGGGTCTTCCCTGAAGCGAGAACTGTCTCTTCCAGGGAAGTGAGTTGAAGCAGGAGCAGCCTGGCTCCAAAGACCCATGCAGGTGCCAGTGACACTGCAGGCCCACAGCTGGGCAGCCCAAGCCCCAGGAATCCCAGTGTTAAGCATTTCCAGGACAGCAAGGGCTGCACTAGCCAGGAAGACAGGGCAGCACCTATCAGTGCGAGCTGTTCATAGAAGGCTTGTTGGACAGGGCAGCATTCTGTGAAGCTGGGCCCATGGAGGCGGTCTGTGATGGAAGTGGTCTGTGATGCAGAACCGACGCTCCTCTGGGAAGCACCTACTGTGTACCCAGACCACTGGGTCCTGAGGGAATGTGGCAGCAAAAACCAGACATCCATCGATCCTTGCCAGGGCAGAGCTGGCTCTCTGAATGAATAAATAGATCTTGCCTGGGACCCAGGGCTGCAGTGTGGTTCGTGATAGTAGGATTGAAATAGGGAGAGCCAGAGCAGGAGTGATCTGCTTCCCAGGTTGGCTAAGGTCTGGTCGGCTTGAACTGGGTGGTCTGGAGTCCTGGGAGAGCCGGCTGGGGGTGGGAAGGAAGCAAAGCTGGTGCTTTTGTGTGTGGTGACACCTAGTGGCCAGTTCCTTGTATTTCATCCTGTCTCTCCCAGAGAGAGCAAATGAAAACTAGCCAGATAGAATTGGAAGATTTTTACTCCTGGAAGCCATAACTCCCAGCTCAAAGAGTTTACGGAGCATTTCAGATGTTTGTTGGAGAACGCAATAGCCCAAGGCACACTACAAAGTGAGAGTCCTTTGGAAAAGCTAAATTTGGTTGTGGGAGACTGGGTTAGGTACTTTGGTCTCTTAACACAATGACCTTTGGCCCTAGATGGATCTGGATATTGCCGACTGGGAGAAGCTTAGACACCACTGGCTGTCTCCCTATTCCATTTAGCCAATCAGGCAGTATTTATTAAGTGCCTGCCAAGTGCTAGGCTCCCAGAGGAACAGCAGAGGGGGCCCTGGCCTTGCAGTAGGCAGGGGGGAGAGACAGTAAGCAAGTGCTCCACCAGGCACTTCCAGAGAATCAGGACAGGTGGGCATGGTGGCTCATGCCTGTTAATTCCAATATTTTGAGAGGCTGAGGCAGGAGGATTGCTTGAGGATGGGAGTTCGAGACCAACCTGGCTGTGCAACATAGCAAGACCTCTACAAAAAATTTTTAAAGTGGCAGAGTGATGTGGCATGCTTCTGTGGTCCCAGCTACTTAGGAGGCTGAGGCAGGAGGATTGCTTGAGCCCAGGAGTTCAAGGCTGCAATGAGTTCTGATCACACCACTGTACTCCTGGGTACCAGAGCAACTGTCAAGGAAGGCTTCCCTAGGAGGATGTCTTGACGCCAAGACAGAGAATGGAAAGAACCCAGTTCCAGGCTGAGGGGACACCCAGTACAAAGGCAGCCAGTAGGGAAGAGCTTCTCAGCATGTTCCAGAATGGACGAGGGCCAGGAATGCAGAGCAAGGGGGAGAGGTAGGAGAGGCAGGCTACAGAGGGAGGCAGGGCTGACGGCGGAGGCCTCGTAGGGTCCTGGCAAGGATTGCGAAATGCATTCTCAGGTAGGTTTAAGCAGTGATGTCATCTGTTTTGGGGAGGCTGAGGTGGGAGGATCACTTGATCCCAGGAGTTTGAGACCAGTCTGGGCAACATAGTAAGTCTCTAAAAAAAATTTTAAAACATTAGCCAAGTGTGGTGATGTATACCTGTGGTCCTAGCTACTCAGGAGGCTGAGTTGGGAGGATCACTGAAGCCCAGCAGGTTGAGGCTGCAGTGAGCCAAGATTGCGCCACTGTACTCCAGCCTGGATGACAGAGGGAGACCCTGTCTCAAAAAAAAAAAAAAGCATAAGATTATTCTGGCTATTGTATAGAGAAAAGGACAAGAAAGGAAGTAGGGGGATCATGAGGAGGTCACATGGTAACTTAGATCCAGGTGGCCATCGGGGAAGAGGTGGAGACTGCATCATCATCCAGACCCAGGGATGCAAGGTTCACCCCACAAGGCTGTGTGGAGTCCAGCCCCAGACTGGCAGTACTGCACGTCTAGTGAAGCAGAAGGAAGTGAGAATAGGTCAGTGTAAGGAGTGATGCCCTAGGACAGAGCTTCCCTGCTCAGCTGTGCAGGAAGTTATGGCCTTCCCTGTGCTGGGGTGCACCCTGGTTCTGGGGGGTGCCTGGGGGTCCCTCTCATCAGAGACCATTCCTGAGGCAGGTTACTCCTCTTTCACAGCTCCCAGTTGTCTCTTAGGCCTTTTTCTGAGCCCAGGAGGCAGAGGAAGGGGAGCAGGCATCAGAGTTAGAAAGCCTGGGCTGTAAGGGGTTAGCAGAAGTTGCTGGAAGGAGACCTGTGCCGCATCAAGCATGCAGCTGCTTATCGGTTTACTGTGCGTACTTTTAGGTCAAGGGCCCCATTAGCTTATGGGGAATTAGCAGTTGACAGTTACCTACAGGAAGGTTGCTGCCCAGGCTCTGGCACATTGCTGAGGCTGCCCTCTGTACAGAGTCACCCTGCCTGGGAAAGCCTGCTGGTCCAGGGCTTGCTGGTCCGGGAGGGACGGATGATGTGAGGAGTGTTCTTGGCCCACCAGCTTGGTTCTGTGGTTCTCCGAGCGCAGTTCCTTGGCACCAGGGCTGATAGGGCTCCACCCCAGCAGCTGCTGCGTTATTTCTGACTCATCTAGGAGTTACCAGTGTGTAACCCAAGCCCCTCTATACCCAGCTTCCTCTCCTCCTGCTCCTCCTGGAGGGAGGAGGCTCTGGACTTCTCTCCTGGGGACTTTCTGTAGGATCAGGTCCCTGCTGCATGTGGACACGGCTGCTGGCCTTCCCAGCAGCCTACAGGAGCCACCCTCTGCCAGGTGGGGTGGGTTTGTGAAGGTTGAGGTAGCACACCCTGCAGCCCTGGGCCGGCGTCTTTCCATTCAGCCCAGCCCAGGAGCCATAGCCCTGGCCTCTTAAACTTGTCGTGGGCTTTTGCTGAGGGAGTTGTCTCAGTGTTTGGGGGCTGGGCATTGATCTCATGGTTTCTTGAGCCAAAGGCCCCAACCAGCTGCCTCTGATCCCATCACTTTTTTTTGCCCCACGTGGAGGTTGCTTTTTCTGAAAACCTGGGACATTTGGAGCTTCATGCACCACGTGTCCTGTGGCTTGTAGCAGGAGCCTTGCTCTGGGGTGGCTGACAGGTAGAAACAACCAGCAGTCTGGGTCATCTCAGTCTCCCTGGACCCAACAGCTCCATTCACAGAGGCAGCAGGCAGGCTGGTTCCTGCAGCGCCTGCTGGAGAACAGAGCTGCTCAGCCCAGCTGGCTGGGACTGGCGTGGGTGAGGGAGGAACCCAGCACCTCGCCACCTGCCCCATGCTCCCAGAAGGGAGACTGCGGGTGGAAAGGGGCTCCTGGGAGGAGTGAGGGTCACTAGCAGTGTCAGTGTCCCAGTATGTCACATCCTGATCTCTTCCCCTTCCGTGCTGCTACTTGTTCTTCAGGAGTCCCCAGAGCCGGGCAGGGGGATGAACCGCGAGGGAGCTCCCGGGAAGAGTCCGGAGGAGATGTACATTCAGCAGAAGGTCCGAGTGCTGCTCATGCTGCGGAAGATGGGATCAAACGTGAGTGCCTGTGAGGTGTCGGGCAACAGCCCCCAGGGAGGGGGTCCCAGGGAGGGGCCCTGCTGGGCTGTTGGAGGGCGGAGCCACGGACTGAGCAGGGGCCCCTGGGCCTGTGGCTTGGCACTAGGGCCGCTTCTGTCCCCCAGGCACAGACCCCAGCACATCGAGTTCTGGGGGCCCTGCTGGGTAGCCTGCCCACCCCTGTGCCAGGTTGGGACCAGGTGTGTGAGGGTCTCAAGGCCCTGATCTTCCTTTTCTCCCCCTCTCAACCCTGAAAGTCTTCTCTCCCAGCGGGCGTCTGAGAGACAGCTTGGCAGGACAGGTGCTGAGGAGGCAGCAGGCATGCGGGTGCAGGGGTATTTCTCAAAAAGAGAAGAGGGACATGGATCACCCCTCAGTCTCCCGGCCAGGGCCTGTGTCTTCCACTGGCCCTGTACTAGATCAGACCCTAGTCTCAGATTCAGTCTGAGTGGCAAGGCCTGTGGACCCCTGGACCAAGTTTAAGAAGGATGGGAGGGTGGTGTCCTGGCTCTGAAAGCAAAGGGGTCAAATCTCAGGAACAGAGGCCTGAGAAGCAAAGGAGGAGGCACCACCCAGGGACCAAGCAGGCCTAGGCAGTGCCTCTGGGGTGCAGGTGCTTTTTAGGGAACAGGCGCATGCTGCCTGCCCCTCACCAGGGCTCTCTCACCCTGCAGCTGACAGCCAGCGAGGAGGAGTTCCTGCGAACCTATGCGGGGGTGGTCAACAGCCAGCTCAGCCAGCTGCCTCCGCACTCCATCGACCAGGGTAAGTTGGTGGCAGAGGGGCTGGGGCAGTGGCACAAGTCCCGGGGCACCAACTTATGGTTCCTTTAGAAAGCCCTCCAGCCCTCTCTGATGGGTGATCCGTGAGACCCAGGGCCCACTAGGAGGGGCTGCAGCTCCCTCCACCTGCAGAGCTGAGCCAGGGAGCCTCCGGAGCCTCCCACCTACCCATTTCCTTCCCTAAGTGAGAGCCAAGGACTCTACAAGGCAAAAGGCAGGATCCCTTTCTTAGGCCTGGGGGAGGCAGGAAATGGAGGTGTCTGGGGGCCCTCGTAACTGCAGAGACTGATTATTGCATTTCTTTAACCTTTGACCTGACCTCTACCCACCCAGCACCCTGTCCAGGAGAGAGAAGCTTCCCTTGTGTGCTAGGACAATTCCATCACTGTTGTTCTGGGCACAGACCACATTGTGGCTGGTACGGTCCTGGCTGTGGCCAGAAGGAATGCCCCAAACACCTGATGTCTCCATGCGCCTGAGGGAGTTGTATCTTTTTTGAGTGACCTCAACCAATCAGCACGGTAACAGGCAGATTTGAGTGTTTGTTGTGTAGCAGGCACTGCTTAGCGCTTGATATATATCACTTCAAGCTATTGTAGGTAGCTACTATTTGTATTAATACTTCTACTTAACAAGCAAGGAAACTGGGATTTGGAAGCAGTAAGTTACTTGGTCATGCAGCCAGGTGGTTACTGGGGAGTCCTGGCATGCACACCTGAGGCTGAGGAACTCTTTGCTGTCTGCCATCTTGCCCATAACCCATATGGCTACTGGACAGCTCCACGTCCCTTTGCCGCGTAGCAAGGTTCTCCTCTAGAAGGCTTATCATGACACTGAGACCCAGTGTTCTGACCAGCATCTCCATAGAGTCCTTTCCTTTTATTCTGTTTTTATTTTTATTTATTTTTTTTTTTTTTTTTTGAGACGGAGTTTCACTCTTGTTACCCAGGCTGGAGTGCAATGGCGCGATCTCGGCTCACCGCAACCTCCGCCTCCTGGGTTCAGGCAATTCTCCTGCCTCAGCCTCCTGAGTAGCTGGGATTACAGGCACGCGCCACCATGCCCAGCTAATTTTTTGTATTTATTTTTAGTAGAGACGGGGTTTCACCGTGTTGACCAGGATGGTCTCGATCTCTTGACCTCGTGATCCACCCGCCTCGGCCTCCCAAAGTGCTGGGATTACAGGCTTGAGCCACCGCGCCCAGCCTGTTTTTATTTTTTTAATTTAAAAATTTTTCTTTTTTTGCTTACCGATTCACCTACTACACTTAATATTCTGTTTATGCTTTGTTGGAATGATTGGCCACGAAATATTGTAACCTGTCCAGATGCAAGTAGGCTCCCAGAAGCAGAGTGCTGATGGCTGCATTTGCTGTGTTTGAGGCTGGCATGTGGGACCTGACCTAGATCACCAGCCAGCCCTTGTTCTCTGGATGTCTCAGGGCTTTGCCCTGGCACAGGGTCCCGTTCCCAAGTGCTGATGCTGGGTGTGACCTGGCTAGTGCACCCAACTCAGCAGAAACCTTCCAGGATGTGGCAGTGGCTCAGGCAGCTCCCTGGGACAGCAGCTCACCATGCACAGCCTGCCTGGGTGTGGCTGCCCACGTGTGCCTCCTGGATCATGCAGCAGCCTGTTTTGAGTGGCGTCAGCTCCCGCCCTGTCCTGGGATCTCTTGGGTGAGGTCTCTTCTCTTCCAAGGCTAATCTGGGTTTCTAGCCTGGCACCCTTTACCCTGGCTTCTGACTCATGTCATCCTGAAACCTTCAGGCTGTTGAGTCCCTGGGGACTCCCCTTTCTTCCCACTTAGTCTTGATCACTGAGTTAACCTGAATTTGAGCTGAGATGGTAAGAAAGCCTCCAGTTGAAGACTCTTGGGAAAAAATCAAAATAAGAGACATCAAAATGTAGGACCGTATGTCAGTATAAAAAGCAGCAACAGTCCAGGTGTGGTGGCTCATGCCTATAATTCCAGCACTTTAGGAGGCCGAGACAGGTGGATCATCTGAGGTCAGGAGTTTGAGACCAGCCTGGCCAACATGATGAAACCCTGTCTCCACTAAAAATACAAAAATTAGCCAGGCATGGTGGTATGCACCTGTAATCCCAGCTACTCGGGAGGCTGAGGCAGGAGAATCACTTGAACCTGGGAGGTGGAAGCTGTAGTGAGCTGAGATTGCACCTCTGCACTCCAGCCTGGGCAACGTAGCAAGACTCCACCTCAGAAAAAACAAAACAGAAAACAAAAACCAGCAACAACACATATACACACAAGTTGTATACATGCATAGAAAAAAAAGCCGGTGGCTGGGTGCAGTGGCTCACGCCTGTAATCCCAGCACTTTGAGAAGCCATGGCAAGAGGATCACTTGAGCCCAGGAGCTCCAGACCTGGGCAACATAGGGAGACCCTGTCTTTACAAAAAATACTAAAATTAGCTGGCCGTGGTGGCATGTATCTGTAATCCTAGCTACTAGGGAGGCTGAGGTGGGAGGATCGCTTGAGTCCAGGAGGTCAAGGCTGTAGTGAGCCATGATCGCACCATTGCACCCCAGCCTAGGCAACAGAGGGAGACCCTGTATCGTAAATTTTAAAAAAGAAAAAAAAGACAAAGAAGTTGGTGGAATATATACCAGGCTGTCAAAAAATTTTGTTAGGGCGTGCTGGGCACGGTGGCTCACCCCTGTAATCCCAGCACTTTGGGAGGCCGAGGTGGGCAGATCACCTGAGGCCAGGAGTTCGAGACCAGTCTGGCCAACATGGTGAAACCCCATCTCTACTAAAAATACAAAAATCAGCCTGGCGTGGTGGTGGGTGCCTATAGTTCCCGCTACTTGAGAGACTAAGACAGTAGAATTGTTTGAACCCGGGAGGTAGAGGTTTCAGTGAGCCAAGATCATGCCACTGTACTCTAGCTTGGGAGACAGAGCGAGATTCTATCTCCAAAAAAAAAAATTTGTTAGGGGGTAGGACTATATATGGAACTTTCACTTTCCAAGTCACACATTCTTGTAAAACTAATATTTTAACATTGTACATTCATTTCTTTGTCATAGGGAAAGTTAAAAATATATATTTTTGGGCCGGGCGTGGTGGCTCACGCCTGTAATCCCAGCACTTTGGGAGGCTGAGGCGGGTGGATCACGAGGTCAGGAGATCGAGACCATCCTGGTCAACATGGTGAAACCCCGTCTCTACTAAAAATACAAAACATTAGCTGGGCATGGTGGCGCATGCCTGTAATCCCAGCGACTCAGGAGGCTG